GTAATTTCTTCATAGTCATTTCATATTCTTTTTTTTTTTTTAATTCAAGAAAGTCAAGAAAAAAGAAGAAGATAATCTCAGTAGAAAACTCTAATTCTTGTTTTGATAATCCTAACATAAAAGATAATCATCTGTGTTTTTAACTCAAGAAAAAAGAACAATTCAAACAAAAAACTCAAATAATTCGAAATTTAATTTTTTTTCTTATACCAATTGAAACACATTGTCAAATAACCCAATTACGAATTAAGAATCCTTCACAAACTAAATTAATCAAACCCACAATAAAAAGTAATCATTACTGTTTCAATTTTTTTTTCATATATTACTATGTCTGTACGTATTTGCTCTAATATCTCTTCCATTGTTATTTTGACTTTAGTTAAAGAGAATATTTTATGAATATTAGGATTTTATTAAAATGTCTAGAATAATAATCTAATGAAAATAAATATCATAGTGGATGAATTTCGAGTGATGTATTTTTACCTAATTTTATATATGTCTATTAAAATAAATTTACATAAGGTTAAAAATATATAATTTTCTTTTTAAAAGTGAAAATGTATAACAATGATGAATGTAAATAGTAGTCTCCATATGACTATCCAATTTTATTTTACCCCTGTTTGGTTTAATTAAAAAAAAAAATATTTTTTCAAAATTTTGATAAAAGTTGATGAAGTATATCGTTGAAAAATCTATAAAATTTGTGAGCTCAATGATATGTATGGTCGAAAATGAGTTAAGAGTAATATGAATTTTAAAAAACTAAGGGCCAAACAAGGCTTAATATCATAGTTATCATACCCCATTCTATTATTGATACAACCAAAGCACCGCGTTTACGAGTCATTGGTCAACGGGTGGATCACCGAGTCATTGTTAGGTCGAAAATTAAAACATTTGTTTTTTTAAAAAGATAGATGTAAATGTAATTTAAAAACTAAAGTATGTTCTAATTTAAATTGTTTATTTACTTTAATTAAAATATAATAAATCCTCATTTTCCTCTTTCTTTTGATCAATCCTATGGAAGTTTTAAAAAAAAAATGTTTAATATTGACCATCAAAAAACCATTAAAGTTTAAAAGAGATTTATCGAAGTTTCTTTCCCATTAACTTACATACTTTGCTTAAAAGAATAAAGGGTAATTGACACAAAACGTCCTTACCTTTCAAGTCTATTGTGGAAAACGTCCATACCTTTCATTTTTTGACATTTTTGCCCTCATTTCAACATTTCTTTGCGCTGGACGTCCTTCCGTCCATATTCCGTCAGTTTTTCCGTTAATTAAAGGGTAATTGGCACAAAATGTCCCTACCTTTCAAGTCTATTGTGGAAAACGTCCCTACCTTTCATTTTTTGACATTTTTGCCCTCATTTCAACCTTTCTTTGCGCTGGACGTCCTTCCGTCCATATTCCGTCAGTTTTTCCGTTAATTAAATACAAAAATACCTTTTTCTTTCCATAAACAAGGGTAAAATTGTCCTCACCCACTTCACCCCTTTTTCCCGCCATCAACTTAGTCCATAAGTAACAGTAGCAGCAACATGAATCTGAAAATACTTTAAATGATTAAGTTAAATAAAGAAAAAATATCGTGAACACGTTATATTTCACAATTCCACAACTACTGTTGCTGTCATCTTGTGTCACTGGAAAATTTTAGAAAGACATATTAAATGAGTAGTCAATTTATAATGAGCCAAAATGGTGAATGGCTCTTTTTGGCTCAATGGAGAAGATGAATGGCTCATTTTAAATTGACTCATTATAAATTGACTACCCATTTAATATGTCTTTCTAAATTTTTCCAGTGACACAAGATGACAGCAACAGTAGTTGTGGAATTGTGAAATATAATGTGTTCAAAATATTTTTTATTTATTTAACTTAATCATTTAAAGTATTTTCAGATTCATGTTGCTGCTACTGTTACTTATGGACAAAGTTGATGGCGGGAAAAAGGGATGAAGTGGGTGAGGACAATTTTACCCTTGTTTATGGAAAGAAAAAGGTATTTTTGTATTTAATTAACGGAAAAATTGACGGAACATGGACGGAAGGACGTCTAGCGCAAAAAAAGGTTGAAATGAGGGCAAAAATGCCAAAAAATGAAAGATAGGGACGTTTTCCACAATAAATTTAAAAGGTAGGGACGTTTTCCACAATAAATTTAAAAGGTAGGAACGTTTTGTGCCAATTACCCAAAGAATAAAAATCAAACTGTAAGGAAGACAGTGCGGCTCTGTTTAGATTTTAGAGCCTTTTGATTTTAATTACAACTCAAAAGGAAAGCCTGGAAAGGTACTGATATGAAAGCCAAGCCGAGCCACAAATTTCAGCATTAGCCGGCTCGTATCACAACAAGTTGGTGTAAATGTTATCCTACGCCATGTTGGGTGGCAAAAAAGGGTATTGCGCCATGTGCGTAATGCGCTCCTTGGATGGTCAGAATCACCCCAAATAGAGCAGACTACCCTACGCACTCGTTCGCCTGGGACCCAAATGCCCTTCCCGTTTTCATTGTTCATTGGCCAGTTTCAACGTGGGGCCCTTTTTCCCACCCCAATTAGAACCAATCAATGATAGATATAAAGATGTCTATTAATAAAACAATTCCAAATTTCCCAAAGCAAATCGCTACATAAATATCGTTTTGGGTGATTATTTAAAGGGAATAATATTTTATTATGTTGAAAAAAGAATTATTCCTTCAACACTTTCTAATATTATTTATCATCTATTTATTCGAGTATTAAATTTTATATTCATTTCATAATTAACTTGATTTTCTTTAAAACGACTTATTTACGATATTGTCAGTGACTCAATATTATGTGATCGAATTGAAACCAGTCCAAAATCGTGTCTAATTACTTCTAAAAGTCTGAATATTTAACAGCCATTGAAACAAACACCAAGTCGACATGTTCGAAAGATTTTTTTTTTTTTTATATGAATTAGAATAAGTTTTACCGCTACCGTATTTAAAAATTAAGATTTTTTAATTCATTTTTTTTTTTTTATGTTCAGCTTTTGACTCTAAAGATTTTGTGGGTCTAAATTTGTGCTAAGTTTAAAACATTCTGTACAAATTGATATCATACGGTTTGCACTTTTTGAGTATCGAATTTCATTGATTCTCTCCAATGCTTTTCAATATTTATAAACTTTCACATTATACTTATACTACTCAATTCTAGAATCAAACATTCTTAATTTTGGCATCGACAAAATAAAACATTATTCCTAATTTATCAAGATACACTTTATTTTAAATTTTCACTTATAATAAATAAATAATAAATGCCACTTAATTATCTTCACAAGTATAAATACGTATACATTATTAGCTGGTAATATATTAGTTTTTGGTAGAAAATAACACTTTAACTTATTCTTGCATCTCTCTTTTAGTTTTAGGATAAAGTTGCCTTTATTCTCTTAGCTTTACATGAATTAGTCTATGTAAAAATTTAAAAAATTACTCCATTTGAAGTTATCCCTAATTTAGCTTTTGTGCTTCTTTTTTTCTTTTATTTAAATTTAGTTTTTGTACTTTGTTTTTGGTTTCATTTCGTTTTTTGTTTTTTTTTTTTGAATTTGTTAATGATGCGGGCATTTACGATGGTTCCAAGCATGTATCTAATGTAAAGTTGTTTTAAAAAATTCATTAATTAAATAAGCTTAAGAACTAAAAATTGGTGACGTCGATCAAGACTTCAATTTCTAGGTAGAGTCGAACTTGTCATTTCACATGATCATAATAATGCTACTGATTTATTGTTCAATTAATTAAAATTATTAGACAGTGAATAACTGAAGTTCATTGCCACATAGATTAGTGCTAAGCATCGTCAGTAAACTCATTGCCATCCAAACTAGTGTTAAGCACCAGCAATGACAATTTAATTTCTTTACTAATTTTGTTCGGCAATAGATATTGTACAATAAATCAGTAAGGTTTGTTGCCACCTAGACTAAATAGTTACATTTTTTTTTCTAATTATGTTTGATACTATTTAATACAATAATTATTACCTTTTTATAATTGTCAAAGCTTCCCGGTGTCGTACCTTTTTTCTTCTCAACAACTTTTTTAACTTTTTAACCATTTAACAATTTCCATATATTTAGGTTAAAACAACCAACACGCGCCACCAAACCCTCAAATCAAACAAATTAATTCGAAAAAATTGCACAACTTGTATCTAACATATTTCTCTAATAATAAATTAGTCCTTAGTATTTAAAACAATATAAAGTTTGCCCAAATCTTTTCATTATAGACAAACTATCGGTCACCTATACAATGTTAAAACACCAAGTAGTGCTGGTATGTTTTGGTTTACAACTTGACTCGATGCTAAGAGACAATATTTTATAACAAATTGACTTGAAAAAGGTAAAGATTCAATTGTAAAAACAATAGAAGTAGGTTAAAAAAGATTTTACAAATAAATAAAAATTAATTTTTTAACTAGCCAAATTGGTTGATTCTTATCTTATTGACCGTCAAATTTTAGATTATGAATTATGAATTATAAATAGATCAAATTTTAATTGTTTTATCATTTTTGGAAAATTTAACCAATTGGTTCGTTTTTACAACATGACATGTTTTAATGAGGGCTACGTTTAAATTATTAAAACTTTTGATGGTTTTATCGTTTGACAAATTTTATAAATGATCAAAACTCATTTCAACCATATATTCCATTTGATTCACAAGTACTATTCACTTTATGAAATAAAATTTATAAATTCATTCCAAAGGATACGAATGTGCAATTACGATGAAAGCAATTTGCTAATGTAGCAATACATTGAGGACCAATGGTGCAATTATTTTCTAAATAATTCCAATTAACAAATTTTATTTCCACGTCATCGACATTTATTGACACGTGTCATGGGATCCCTACAAGTATGGACCTCCCACAGCACAATTCCCTTAAATCATAAACCTTCTCGAAACACAACCCTCGCTTTCGTCAAACAAAAACATTTTCTTTTCCAAATTTTTTTCGCTCTTTAAAGATTTTTATTTTTAGGAAATTTTCTATAAAATCCCGTAAAGTTTACTGAAAAATAGGCTCAAACATAACGAACCATACGATATTCAGTCATTGACACATCAATTCGGCATTCAAAAAGAGAAGATTTTTATTTTATTCACTGAAAATTTCACTTGAAGATGCCGCCGGCGGCCAGTGTAGTAGCGCATGGTGATCGCGTACCTGTAAAGGTTGTGCCAGCGGTGGTGCAGCAGCCTCAACCGCCGGCGGGCGTGGTGATGACGACGGCGTCGGAGGCTTTTGCAAAGGACGCTGTCATTGCGTGGTTCCGAGGGGAGTTTGCTGCGGCCAACGCCATCATTGATGCGCTCTGTAAACACCTGAGGCAACTTGAAGGTGGTGTTCCGGCAGATTATGAATCGGTATTCGGTGCTATTCATCGTAGGAGGCTGAACTGGATCCCGATCCTCCAGATGCAGCAATACTATTCGATTGCTGATGTCACACTGGAGCTTCAAAAGGTTGAAGCCAAAAAGTGTGAAGAAAGTAAGATTGATGAAACGAAAATCGAGGAGAAAGAGAAATCTCTAGAAAGCTCCGTCGAGGAGGGTTATGAAAATGGTGGAGTAGAGCCCATGGTTGAAGATTTTTCTAGGGATGATTCACCTGAAAGCGAGATTGCTGATACAGGTAAGTAACAGAATCCCGATCTTTATCAACATTAATTTCTGCAAAAAAATAATTGCGAAATCCACTCGATTTTAATACAAAGAATCTATTTTTGCTTATGAATCAAAATTCTGTGATTTATGTTCGTCTGTGATGCATTTCTTCCATTTCTCTGAATTTTCTTATCTTTTAATTATCAAAGAAAATTTCTTTTACGGTTAAAATTAAATTTGAAATCTTGAATCATGGTTCAAACCCCGTAAATTCTAAAGAAAAAAAAATAAATCAAAATGCTCTTCTTTTTATTGAATTTGATTCTCAATTCTTCGATACATCCTCTGTTCATGGTTTTACTCGATTTCTACTTGCAAAAGAAAATAAACTCTACAAAAATAGAAATTATTGAAGTAAATTCTAAATTAGGTTGATATTTTCCAAGATTGAGAAAATCGAAATGGGGAAGTGTGTTAAAGGCCTGCACTGTGATCATCTTATTCGGAGCCCCACCTACCCGATTCACAGGTAGTTTCGGAAAAAGCAAATACCATTACCAATTTATGATAGAGATGAGCTGAATCGGGGAGGTCCACCTGGAGAAGCGTGAGGTATCACTCTCATTAAATGAAATTTGTTTTGACTATTTAATAGGCGGCTTGAATCGTTTAACGGACGTCATGGCTGCGTCTGGTTGGATTTCTAGGGGGGTAGGCCCGAATGGGACCTTGAAAATTCTGAACCTTTTTTGGGATATTCGGTTTGTTCTAGTAACTCTGAGTTTTCAACGAGTTTGACCTGAGTGAACTCGTCCTCGATTGTTGGCCATGTTGTTTGGTGACTTTTTAGGGAAGCTACACGGAATATTCTCTTCATTTGTGCTATCCGCCAAGAAAGGGTTATAAATTTTGTTTGCAATGATGTTACAATTTGGTCAACTTTTTCGTCATAGCGACGGCAATGGTGATATGGAGTTGGCCGGTTGACGACTAAAGTGAAATGATGCTACAAGTTGGGTGACTAATATTGTTTCTAACCCTACGTTTTAATAATGTTAAAAGGAAAAATAACCAAAATATTGTTTCACTAAATTGGATCGCAAGCTTCATTGTTATGGCAAATTATGTACTATTGAAATAATTGATAAGGGCATATTTGATGTGATGCAAGTACACTCTATAAATAGCCCAATCAAGGGAACAAAATATAATAAAGTTTATACCACTTCTGTCACTATGTACCACTAGTGCTTTTCTTTTTTCTTTTTTTTTTTTTTCTGTGTGTGGCTTTTCCTTTTTTTTTTTTTTTTTTTTTTTTGTGTGTGCGCGCGCGCGCTCATAGGTTGTTCTTTCCCATTTTTGTCTTTGTACGCTAGTGGATTCGGTACAGCAAATTAGTCCTTTCCTATTGTATTATTTTTAAAAATACTAGTAGTAACTATTTATTTAGTTTAGAATGCCTATATAAAATTGAACGGTATAATAAATGAGATATTAATTTATCTTTAGACAAGATATAATATTTAATGACAGTTGGGTGGCAAGTCCAAAGTCCGAGGTTCAGTGTTTGCACAACCATTACCATCGCTTGTCCCGAGGGAGAGAAATGGTCCTTTAGTGTAACAGCTTTTGGCTGACCTTCATAATTGAAAATTAATTTTTTGATCAAAATTATGACCTATTAATTTATAATCTTGAGATTAATTCAATAATATTAAAGTACCCGAGAGATTCAAAGATTGAATCTATGCTGGCACCAAATTCTGAGTATATGTTTAGTATGAACTATCGAAGTGGCTTAAAGCTTTTGCTCAGTCTAGTCAACAGTTTATATATTCTCTCCTTTCACCTTCTATAACTGTACTCTGCAAAAATCTATATTAGACCCTTTTTTGGTTATAGTGAAGATACAAAATCAATTCCTTCTTCTGTTCTGCATTGTAGGGTCTCAAGAAGTGCAGCCGTTGCTTGAACATGTCGATATATGTTCTAACCATGAAGAATGTGAGGCACGTCGTGAGCAGATCAAGTTGACAAAAGGGTTCTTAGCGAAGGAGCCCATGAAAGGCCATATGGTGAGTTTCAATTGCTTATGGAACCTTTAAGCTTAGTGTAACATGCTTTCAGTTGACACAATACGTTATTATATAGCTGCAAGTTTGCTCATCGACTGATATTACTACTGTCAGGTTAATGTTGTTAGAGGTCTTAAGTTGTATGAAGATGTATTCACCGACGTCGAACTCTCTAAATTGAATGACTTTGTGAATGAGCTCCGAGTTGCTGGCCAGAACGGTGAACTCTCAGGTGGATCCTGTGATTCGTGATGCTTTTATAGTTAAACTAGTTGTTTCCTTTTGGGCCAGAAGTTTTGAGATTGTAAAGGGCACCTTCTATAGTAATGATTGAAGCAGGTTTGAGCATTATTTTTACAGTCAGTTTAAATATTGCTACCTTCTGTTGATTATACTAGGCCTCCACTGTAACTTAATTGCTAATACATAAGAATTTGAAAAGTTTAAGGTTGTCTGATTTCTCAAATGTATCTTTTAAGGACAATGTTGCGTTATTTACCTTGCCGGTTTGTTTTTAATTCTTGATATACAGTAGTTTATTGTGGTGAAAGTGATATTTTGATGACTCCGTTTAGTGTTGATTAAGTACTGTATACTTGTATCAGGCGAGACGTTTATACTATACAACCAGCAAGTGAAAGGAAAGAAGAGAGAGTTAATTCAGCTTGGAGTTCCCATTTTCGGACAGATAAAAGACGATGCAGCAAGTAAATTGCAGAAGAGTATGAAGGAGTTGTATTTTGATACATATTACCTATGTTTAGCCGAACTTTTTTTAAAAAATTCGTATAATAATAATGTATGTAGTTACAGGCCATATCGAGCCAATTCCAGCACTTCTACAAGGTGTCATTAACCACTTGATCCAGTGGCATTTGATCCCAGAAAATCGAAAACCAAATAGCTGCATCATTAACTTCTTTGATGAGGTATAAATCTTTCTTCTTTTCACTTGACAGTGCAATTTAATAGAGTAATTGAATAAGTTTCTCTGGTTGCATAGGGGGAATACTCTCAGCCTTTTCTGAAACCACCTCATTTGGACCAGCCCGTTTCGACACTCCTCCTCTCTGAGTCAGCAATGGCGTTCGGTCGAACACTTGTCTGTGATAGTGAAGGGAATTATAAAGGGCCACTCACGCTCTCTCTCAAGGAAGGGTATGTAACAACATATTCATATAGCCCATGTTTGATAAATGTCCATTATACTGTCCGATTCAGCGTACTAAACATATCTATTGCCAATTTGGTTCCAAAAAAAAAAAAAAATTAAAAAATTTGACAGGTCACTTCTAGTCATGAGGGGAAATAGTTCTGATACAGCAAGACACGTTATGTGCTCCTCGTCGAACAAGAGGGTGACTGTGACATTCTTTAGAGTTCGGGTAGAGACACAAAACGCAGAGGCAACCCCTTCAACTGGAGCAATGACCTTATGGCAATCCGGTGTTCAAACTTCGTACGCAGTCCCAAATGGAATGGTTAGCCCTTACGAGGCAATGGATACGATCCCCAAATGGGGTGTCCTCCGAGCTCCCGTGGTTACGTTGTCTCCTATGCTTCCAATGGTTTTGAATCCTCAAAGGATTCCACAAGGTGGGACCGGGGTTTTCTTGCCGTGGACCGTTGGATCAAGGAAACCAGCAAAACATCTTCCACCGCGTGCTCAGAAAGGACGATGTCTTGCTCTACCATCCCCTATTGAAATGCAGAAAACTCAGGTCACTTCTGATCCGGGTATCAACCATGAAGGGAAATCTCTGTAAGTTAATCTGTTAGCGTTGGCTGTTATACATTTCTGAGATGCCAATAGGCTCCAGAAATAGTTGAGAGAGCTTGAAAGTTGCACGGATTTTGGACTAGTTGTAACAGAGAGTTGAGTTTGTAGTGTATTTTCATTCTGGTGGATGCAGTCTTTTTTACATTACCATATATTTGTTATTTTTTTTCTCGTTTTCTATTTATCAAGCACAATTAATTAGCTTCAGTTGGTTTGGTTGTTACGTCGATAAAATCTTTTACATTCTACTGTCAAATCTATAAAATAGAGAGCTGTTCACTCCAACAATAGTGCTTTGAATTTATCAGCTCTATCCAACTGATATAATGGAAGACAACCTTGAAGTTGTGAATTTGCCCTCAGACTGAACTTCTAGATCAGAAGTGATGATTCCATTAGCACTCCACATTGCTAAGGTAATTTGGTTTGTGGGTTTTGAAAGAAGACGCCGTGGAAGTCGGTTTTGAAAGGAGGGGTAGAAGACTGGAATGTAATAACTCGTCTTAAACATCGCTAAGCTAAAGATAGGTTTGTGGGTTTATAAAAAGATGGACATCCTTTTCTTATGATCCGCTTCTAAGTGTGAGTATTGCTACACGAGGTAACTCAACACGATAGCGTAGAACACAATGAGCCTGAATTTCAAGCACAACCACTGCCTATTCGTGAGAAGTCTATTGTCAGGTCTTTGTCCAGAAAATGAACGTGATCCATGCCTCCTTGTGTTTAACAATTAAGCAAGAATTAGTTGGTAGTTACTATTTGGGAATGAAGCATGCTTCAAGAAAGGCATATTTATTGTTGGTATCTGGGGGATGTGGATATTTATTCTTGCTAGCTGTGTATGCTTTTGACCAGATAAGGGTAAGGCTTTGGTTTGAAAAAGAAAGTTATGAAACAAGTGAAAGGTTACATCCTGCTTTTTGTTACCTCCACTTCAAAGAATGGAATAGAATCATTCTGACAACCTAATAATTTTTGTTGATAAACACACTGAAAGGCTTGAATATTGCAGTGCCTATCAAATTCATTCTGGCAAAAAATGCCTAAAAGGGATGAGAATTCTCAGCCTATCGGCATTTGTCAAAGGTTCATGAACTTGATTTTCGGTAGTTTGAGTCGTCCCGCCCCTCGTCGATCTGTTGAAGTTCCCATAGAAGAAGTTTCATCAACTAATAATGGAAAAACTTCCATTAATGGATCTTCTGGTGCTTCTGAGATTGTAGTTCAGTTCGGACATATTGGTGCATTAGAAAATTGGAAGACCTCAGTCGATGATTTTGGTTCTTCAATTAAAGTTCCACAGAAAGATGCATCATTCGTCCCGCCCCTCGTCAATCTGTTGAAGTTCCCATAGAAGAAGTTTCATCAACTAATAATGGAAAAACTTCCATTAATGGATCTTCTGGTGCTTCTGAGATTGTAGTTCAGTTCGGACATATTGGTGCATTAGAAAATTGGAAGACCTCAGTCGATGATTTTGGTTCTTCAATTAAAGTTCCACAGAAAGATGCATCAAGCTTTCGAGTCGCGGAGAAATCTGATCTTAATGCTCGAGATAATGGCCTCCAGCAGCAGGGACGGAGCCAGAAGCATAATCCAGAGGCCCGCGAGAGGGAGGCAATTGGCACAAACGGGCAGAAAAATGATCTTAGTTACAAAGAGAGTACCAGTCTTTTAGCTGAAGGAACAAAGATGAATAAGCCAAATGAAGAGACAAAACCTAAGCCTCCGAGGAGGCCGCGTCATCTTCTGAATGCGGACTCAAACATAAATGCGAAGGCTGAATCATTCATAAAAAGTAAAAAGGAAGCCATGGGCAGAAACTTCGGCTTTGATCCCAAAAAAGACTAATTTTTTATTTTTTTTTCCCCCTAATCCTCTTCTGATTCTTGTTTTTGATCATCTGTCAAGTACCAGAATTGGAGGGAGCGGTTCTTATTTCTATAGTAATAAGGTTCTATATGAAACTTTTGTTGCTATAACGTAGAAAAAACCAAGAAAGGATTAACTCTACAGAAGTTTATCGTTCAGTAATGTTGAGGCCATGGTGGCTCATTCTAACTGTAGCACATTGATATGATTTTTCATAGTTACGTATCTTCTTTTTTACTTGTACGGGTTGAACCAACTTATTTGAAAGTTTCAACTTGTTGTATACGAACAAATTAATCTTCTTTCTACTTTTTCATGGGGTAATTAGCACAAAACGTCCATATCTTTCGATATTTTTGTGGAAAACGTTACTATCTTTCGTTTTTTGGTGGATTACACCCTCACCTTTACTTTTTTTTTTTTTTTTTTTTTTCGCAAAATGTCCTTTTGTCAACTTTCCGTAAAAATGTTCCGTTAAATCAAAAGGTAATTAGCACAAAAGGTCCATATATTTCAATATTATTGTGCAAAACGTCTCTATCTTTCATTTTTTGGCATAATTAGCACAAAAGGTTCCTACCTATTAATGTTATTTTGCAAAACATCCATACATTTCATTTTTTAGCATTTCACCCCTACCTTTCACCTTTCATTGCGAAAAAGATCATTCTCATCCATTTTTCAATAAAATGACGATTTTACCCTCCTATTCGAATAAAACAAAAAGAAAAGATGGATTACCAATTGCAATCATAATCCTTTATTTTTTAAAAAATTACAAAGAAATCATAAATTATCAATCACCATCACTTTCACAATCTATCAAGCTGCCAATTATAAATTAACATAACGCCACCTTTCGGCCACCGTGTCCATCGAACTCCACCACCTTAAATGTGGTTGTTTCGGACAGATTGGTGACTAATACTATGAAGGAGGATATTGGGGAGAGTAAAGCGAGGTTGGTGGTGGTGGAGTCCGATAGGTGTTGTGGCCGAAAGGTGGTGCTATATGGATCTATAGGTGGTGGCTTGATGGGGTTGTGAAAGTGGCGGTAGTGGAGAATTCAGAATTTATCTGTAATGTTTTGAAAGATTCAGGACTATGATAGCAATTATTTAATTATTTTTCTTTTCTTTTCTTTTTATTATTTGAGTATGAGGGTAAAATCGTCATTTTATTGAAAAAATGGATGAAAATGACCTTTTGCGCAATGAAATGTGAAAGTTAGGGGTGAAAATACTAAAAATGAAATGTAGGGCCGTTTTGTACAAAAACATTGAAAGGTAGGGACCTTTTGTTCTAATTATGTTAAAAAATGAAAGGTATGAACGTTTTGCACAATAACATTGAAAGGTATGGACCTTTTGTGTTAATTACTTTTTTATTTAACGGAGCATTTTAACGTAGAGTTGACAGAAGGACGTTTTGTGCAAAAAAAAAAAAGAGGTAAATGTAAGGGTGTAATCCGTCAAAAAACGAAAGGTATGGACATTTTGTACTAATTATCATTTTTCATGAAACGAGCTTTCACGTATTCAAGCATGTGCATAGAATTTGGTAAATCAATGATGGTTGAGACAAGAACATTTATAACAAAAGAAAAGTTTTTTGAGAAAATTATATGGAAGGTAAATAAGATGATTTAACGTGCAACATTTGTGCTTTGTTTGGATGATAAATTCTATTAGGGTGATTAGTCGTGCAACATTCGTGCCTCTAGGTAGTCACGGGTTGTATTAGGATGAATGGATGTGCAGTATTCGTGCTTTACGTTTGAATTAACCGTTTACCATGGTATGAACATTGGACGAGAGGGGTGCAGAGAAAGAAATGCCATACATTTCGATTAGATCGAAATGAGCAACGACAAAATGGCAATGTACCAGAAGAAGGTTTGTAGTTTTTGGACTCCTAACTTTTCCCATCATCCTTTTTTGTTTGTGTTTGAACATCCCATTTACGTTCTTGTTAGTACTCAATGTAGGTGACTCCCGAGCTAACAAATTCTTACGAATAATGACGTCTAATTATCAAATTTGTCAATACTCACATAAGAAGAAGTTGACTTGAAACACCATCATCTAGTAATCAATAATCGTACTTAGCAAAGTCCTTTAGTAATTTGGAAAAAAATGGTTAATATCAATAAGGGAAAATTGTAACAGCGGTCCCTAACCTTTTTTTTTTTTTTTTGCAGACTTTACCATAACCTTCATTTTGTGCCAGCGGAGATTCCTAACATTTTATAAATATGCATCTGATGTCCATCTGGACGGTTTAACACCGTCAATTAACCAGAAAAATTAAGGAATCAACATTCAATAAAATTGTCGCAGTAGTAGATAGTTCAAGGAATTTTTCTGATTAACTGACTGTGTTTTGGACAGTTTTCATCCAGATTGACCTCAACTGTATATTTATGAAAGGTTGGGGACCTTCGTCGGCACAAAATGAAGGTTATGATGAAGTCTACAAAAAATGAAAAGGTTAGGAACCGTTGCTGCAATTTTTCCTATCAATAATTATAATTTTACGTGGATAGGGTTGGCGCAACTCTCCATGTCAGGCATTTTCGAGAAGGTGATACGAAGTTAAAATATCACCATTTTCTGTTGTGTGTCCCTATATACTTATTTAATTTTAAAACGATTTAGATTTATTAGCATAAAAATATATGAAAAAAAAAAAAAGATTGGAGCAAGTCGAAGGTGAGGACTCTGTTCTCATTTGAGCCCTATATCCTAAGGACTAAATGGAGAATTATGTCATCCCTATTTACAGGGACAAAAATTAAGATATTTATATTTTCCTAATACAACATAAATATATTTCTATTTTCACTTTTGTAATTATTACTTTATGAATATTTTGATATGAGGAATAATGGTGTCTAGTTACCAAATTTCTTCATTCTCAAATAAAAAGTTGACTTGAATTACTTTATATTAAATATGCACATATATTATGATTTCAGTATATTCTATATATGACACAAATCTACTTCTATTCACACATTCGTGAGTGAATTTCAACTTTAATATTATTTTATTATTACTAGTTGGTATAAGTATCCATCGAAATTATACCATGAAAGCAAGATGGTCATTGTGTAATCACTCTAGATAAACAATTTGCTCGAAGAACAGTTGATCAATAGCACCAGAAGTTGAACATCCAAGGGTGACTTGTAGAGGAGTCGAGTCCATCCATCTCAGCTCAACAAAGTTTAGGTAGGTCATTAGCGCGATTGAGTGTGGGGCTATTAACGCACATCCCCATTACCCCACTAAACTATATCCCATATTTCTTCTGACACGTGTACACACAATAGCTCATACCAAACATCTATAAAAGACTATAAACGAAGAAAGTTATATACAAACCTTCTTAACATTCTTTTCTCGATAGAAACAAATAACTCAAATGGTGAATACCTCCTTTCTCTTTAAAGTTTAAACTAGTGACTCACTCTTATTCGGGATAGCTACATGGACGAGGTCGGCAACGTGCAGGTTCCTTGGAAGGTAATGTACCATATCGACGACGTACAGGTTCATTGGGAAGGTAATATTCCATATTGACGATATGCTATCATATATCAACATTAGTCACAAATTAGTGTGCCTGACACTGACAGTACTCCTATCACTATATTATGTATAGTAATCGAAAGATTTGACTTCACTCACTTTTTAAATGAAAAATTAACTATTACAAACCCATCTTAACTCGAATCAATAACTATCAATAAGAATCAAGATTTTCTCAGCATTTTGGCATCTTATACTGCTTATAAATGGCAGCAAAATCTGTCTTAATGTGGTTAAGTATTGATTAGGGCACATAATGCAATCTACCAATTAGGTTTAGAAAATCGAATTAGCATAGAATATCTTTTCATTTTCTTAACTTGATCTTGGGGTAAAGTTAAAAAACACGCAGCCAAAAACTGGTGGAGAACGAGGGTTAACCACACGTTTGGTTAGGAAAAACCAGACATATATAAGAAATTCCGTACCACACTTGCACAGTGAGCGAGAGAGAACTCGCTTAAGAAAATAGTGTGTGTGTGTGTGGTTTCGACGCAGATAGCGACTGGTGACTACCCCTTTTCAATTCTTAACGCTTTGTAAGTACCCTTTTCATTGATTGATCCAACTCTTGCTATTTCTTGATGTGTTTCTGAATTATTAATTTTTGCTATTTGCATTCCTTCTATTGGGATTCTCCTTTCTTCGTTACTATTATTTATTTATTTATTTTCTTTTTTTTTTGTTATTTTTTGTTGGGTCTTTGAGCTTTGGCATGGTGTTTAATTGGTTTTTTCTTAGGATTTTATGATGGTTTCTTTTTTATTTTTTTTCCTGTTGGATTTCCTGTATGATTTTTTGCTTGTTCAGCTAAGTGGGCGTGTCAAATTTATCGAGAAAAAATAATTTATTCTGTTTCGCTGTTATTTTTGACGAAATTGAGTGTAAGAGATGAGAAAAATTGAGAAAGCTGTGAATAAAAAAATTAATTCATCCTTTTATGCTTAATGAAGTGTCACACTGGATATTTATACACATGAAGTTGAATTCATTTTAGAATTGGAAAATCATTTTTTTTAGTAGAATATGTTTTCATGATGTCTGAAAATTTATTCTCCTTGTTGCTACAACTTGTGAGATTGGCAAGTTTGCCTTTTTAGTTGCTATGAGTTTATAGTTTTGATTCCCAAGAATTGCCTTTTTGATTGCTCTGAGTTGTGGAATCTTCATTGTTGTGATTGTCATGACTTGTTTGATTGCCAAGTTTGCTTTCTTGATTGCTGTGAGCTGTAGGAAAGGCAGAGGAGGATGACTTGAAACAAGTGGCAGAGCTTGATGTCCAAAAGTGTAAAGACGACATCAAAAAGCACGAGAATATGATCTCCGAATTGAGATTTGAGTCTGAAGCTTCAAAAATAGCTGCAATGAAAAGGGGCATTGATCCAGGTTATGGCTCTACATTTCATGGATCATTGTTAGAGAATTAAAGACATTATCAGTTTTTTGCTCATATCTTCTATTGTGATGATTCTCTCTATTTCTAATATCTTCTGTTGTATCCTTTGTTCCCATTTTCATATTCTCTCTGTGACAATGCCAGTGGTCTACAGGTTCAGCATTGACAACTATACTTTTTTTGAGTGGTTCAAGTATCACAGAATTTGTGTGCTGTAAACTAATAGAATGGACGATAGCAATAATATTAATGGGAGTGGTGAAGGATCATCAGCTGCTTTGGCTACCGAGAAAGGAAGTAGGAACAAGAGGAAGTTCTTGTCTGATTTGGCAATAGACATTCCAATTGATGTATCAAACCTTTCCCTTACAGAATTCCCAAGATATGAGTTGTTGGAGGAAAAATTTCGGAATGCTTTGAGTGAGTTGGGGTCACTCGTGTCTAGGTCAGAAAAGATTGTTGAGGAACCGGAAGTGGAAGAATTCCAATCCTCCGATTGGGATGATCCCAATACATGTCAGCTCGAGAAACTTTTAACTAATAATTTACTTGTGACTTTCCACAGTGCTGTGAAGAAGATTGTTGAATGTGGATACAATGAGGAAAGTGCCGAGTGGGTCGTTTTAAATTGTGGCATATACCATGGTCGTAAAGATGCAGTGTCAAATGTTGTGGATGGTGCTTTGGCTTTATTGAAGAGGGAAAAGGAGTTCAATTTCATTTTCTGTTAAAATATTTTCATCGTTCTTTCTTACCATTCTCCGCAGAAATAACTTTGAAATTTTACTTCTTTAATATGTGACTTGTTTCTGAAGTGTATGTTCTGTTTCTAGTCAGGTAATTCTTCAAAGGGAAATAATCAAAATATATCAACGATAAAATGATGGGAAAAGACAATTGGACTTTGGTTGACAGTTCAAAGTCATGGAAGCTGAGGATGTAATATGGCATGTTTGTATGAGTACTGTGATTGGATTAGGCTTACACAAGTTGGAATTGGCAGAAAAGATGCTTAAGAAAATTGAAAGACCTGTAAAGTTTTCGTTGTATTTATTAACATAGAACTAGTTCTGATTACATATTTAGAACTCATTAAAAGAACCTCAAGATTGGTTGGTGTCTGTGTCTCCCAAATTTTGTTTATTTGTTCAACCATATTGATTGAAGACACTTGAAATCTATTGGGCTTCGCCCGCGCAGGTCGAGCCCGCTTGTCGACGTTTTGATTTATTATTTTTATTTTTCCCTCTGAAGATATTGAATGTGTGTAAGATGCTAGTTTACCTCTTTGTTTACTAATGAATGTCTTATCTATCAGTGATGATTCGTTTCCATTTAGCGAAAGTGAAATTAGATTCTAAGATGGCCTAAAATCTAAAGTTGTGGTCGAGAAAATATCGGAACCTTCATATATATATGTTGTAACAAGAGACACGAATGAAAGACTTTTGGGAATGTTGTGGTCCTTATGGGATATGAACTGTATCACTTTCTTTATGAACTGGCTACTTTATAGCTACTACATTAATAATAATGCTTTCAATTCCCATCTTCTAAAGAATTTGAGACCCAACACTTAGCATTAATTCCGTGTTTCATAAAACATCGTACACTTTGGGGTTCCTTGTATAACTTTTTAAGTTAATGTAGAAAATAAATGACATGTACGACGAGAAATTTGGACTGAACAGTACTAGGCAATATTAAGTAACAAAAGAAAAAGTTAAAATCTTGTAATTTGTATTGATTCGATGTGTTATGCATAGTTGCAAGTTAATATACGTTGAAACTATAATGACCATTATCATGGTCCATCTTAGTTTTATGGACTCGAAAAACTCACATACACTATATACATTTCTACTTCCACTAGGAGACGTAATTAAGAAACAAAACAAAAGTAAAAGTAAAATTTTTGTTGTAGTGTCAAGAGTTTCCTGTTTTTGTTCGTGCTGGGTTGGTGCCTCTTCGGCATTAACAATCGGATTGGAGGAAGGCAACGTTGAGTTTACCTCGTTTTTGTTCCCTTGTAGAGAATTCAGACAGTGACGGAAGTCCTCAGCAGAATCGAGGGACGACTGCATTGAATCTACTCGACGGTTCCGGAACGAGCAGTAAAAGCAGAATCCCACGAAATAAAATAATAGTCAAAAGTGTAGTTGTTCCTGCCGCTTCGTCAATTCTATCGAGCCTCCTTCCCTAAATTGTTTTTTGCTTGCCAAACAAGTCCTAAATATTTCACATGTGTTGAGAATCTTGAGACTATGTTGTAATGTCGAGACTCGAGAATGCTACTTACCAAATACATCCTAAACCTTCCGTCTTTTATTTGATTTGAGACTATACCTGCTACTAAACATTATTATTTAGGCTTGAGCTGGATTTTAAAGCCTTGCACTCTTGTTCTTCATTATCTCTCTCTCTCTCTCTCTCTCTCTCACACACACACACACAACACACAGCTGGCAGTTAAAGTCTTGTACCCCTCTCTCTCTCTCTCTCTCACAGCTGGCTGTTAAAGTCTTGTACCCTTGTTCATATCATCATCTATAATTAAATTAAAGTCTCTCTCTCTCTAATTTTATAAATTTATATCAATGTTGTGCTACATGGTAAAGTTAGTACAATACATGCCCTGAACAGAGAGAATCTGAGTAATGCTGGTGAAAGGTGGCAGTGAGATGCACATGATATATCTATCAAGACAGTGGGATTCCCCAACACCACAAGCATACAAATGAGGCAACTGAGAAATCAAAGCTGGCCTTTTTCTCTTTGATTATTTAATTTTCTTGCTGGCTTAAAACCATCCATTTGGCATCTTTCTCATACAATTAGCCAGTCCTATATACATAATTGTTAATTACTTGGGACACCTAGTTATCAATTATTCTATCTTTGCATAAGGGTATCGATGTCTCATCTATAACAGCTTAATCTTTTGGATGAGTTAGTTTAACATGATATTAAAGCATGCAAATGCCTTACGTTATGTTTAGCTGGTATTATGAAAATAGTGCACATGTTAGACCTTAATTTGATAAAAAGTGAAACCAAATATGCACATAAAAGGGTCGTATGAATCTAAATAAATAACGTTGTCACTTTTTCTATTAGTTTAGATTTTTAGACGAGATGAGCTATTGGATGTCATTTTCGATCAGTACAAGAAAATCTCTATTGTGTTATAAAGAATTTAAATTAGTCTAATGTGTCTCTTTTATTTCATCATTTTCTTTAACTTGTGGTACCATGTCCTGACCAGAGTTGGTTTGGTTGTCTAATTTCTCATTTTCTACATGCAAAAAAGGGGCCCTACTTCTTGTTGTGTGTTTGCCTATTTTGTAATTAGTTCTATATTTTACAATGTGAATCACGATGCATGTGATGATTATACACCGAAAGGGTTGGGAAAAAATAAAAAAAAATAAAAAATAAAAATTCTAACCCATTTCATTGGAAATCTATTCAATTTTAATTCTTACAAATATTCACTCGCGACTAAATTTTGACCTAATTCGATAAAAACACGTCTGGCATCGACCTTATTATCAATGGCTTTTAGTATGAGAATCTGATAGAGTCGTTGAATATTGTTTGTAAAACTATAACAAAAGTGGAGACTAATTAATGTTCTACTCAAACAACCATTAGAGAAAAATCATATTATGTGCAGTAGGCGGCAAATAATATTTTAGTAGTAATTTGTACATAAAATAGTTGTAATTGAGACTGGGCTTTGCATGGTAGTGCGGGCCTAGTCAAGTTGCATCCAATAATGCAGTTGCAATCAAAGCATAATTTACAGTTTTGTATGACCTTGACTTCTCCCTATAATTAATTACATTGAAAATGATCGTTTGGTCCCCATTAATAGTTTTTTTTTTTTTTTTTTGAAAAAATGGATGATTGTAAAATAATGAAAAGTTTTCGATTTGTGTAATATTATTTTATTGAAAATTATGTGATTGAAAATAGAAGAGAGAAAAATTTAAATTAAATTAAAGAGTTTTTAAGGGGCAGAAAGTGAAAGAAAGGAAGAAAGAAAAATGTGTTTTCTTTTCTATTTTTCTTTGAAAATCACATTGAAAAATTGGTTTTTGACAAATATTATGTATATGCACAATTGTCATTAAAATTAATGGAGGGTTTTGATTCCCCTTCGAAAAGGAAAGGTATACGAGAGACGAATATCTTCAAGAATAAATAGTGGTTTTGATTTCTTTATGGTCGTTTGAGAGTTGATGACTTGAGTTAGCATCCAACGAATCTCCTTCTTCTGCACATGTGTCTTGTTCAAGGGTGAGTCTAGTATTCTGCCCTTTTTGGTCGCTTGCTTATGATTCTCAAAATTTCTTTTAATTAGGCTCTAAAGTCTGATCTTGGTCCCTGTCCTTGGTACATTTTGAATCAAAAGGCATCTAGATCAAATTATCACTTTCTAGTTATAGTTGCTAGTATTGAATGATTATTGTTGGACAGCTAATTTATCTAAAAGTTTACACTAAAGATATCAAAAGAAAATTTATCTTAAATTATTCTTTCAACATGCCCACTTACATGTACATACTATTAATGTCATATTAAATAAATATCTTACCTAATTTCCAAGATACTCCCCTTAACTAGAGGAAAATACAAGTGAAAAAAGCATTGGAGTTTTGTACGCCGTGTTTCTGGTGACGTGGCGTTTCAAACAAGAACCCTTGTTTGTTTTTGTATCAAGCCCCTCTAAGTACATATATATTTGCAAATTAGGGCCTTCGAGGCATAGACCAGTGGTACAAAGGACAAGGGTGAGGTTATCTCACGCCTTGCTGACAGCCATAATGTGAGCATTCGATTCTTGAGACATGGAATTGGACTCTTTGTAGGCGCAGTGTACAGACAGTTCTTATTCACTGACCTGTTGGAGTATATCCCGCGATTTATCTCCCTCACAAAACTCTAGAGGCGGGCGGTAGGGACCCTCAAAGTTGTGGTTCCACTTTTATATTTGAAAATTAGGATTTAAAAAATAAAATTCCATTGACCCAAATAACATAGGCACGTATATTTTATAAAATTGGGGAGTAGTTGGGTCTTTAATTTTTTACTTCACGTATTTTAATGTTAAAACTTAAAAGACATTTATATAACGTCCAAGTACACCCATTAAATCTTGGAGTAGTTAGCATTTGTTGGGGTCAAATGTTTGTTTTTTGTCCTAGCCATATTATATGACTATGGGGTACCTCTCAATTCATTTTAATAGATAAAACAAATTCACAATAATGATAAATGGGTGATGCTTCCTCACATGAAGGGAGATTTATTTCGAATAAAATATTATTTATTCGAAGTGCATCTCTTTCATATGAGGGGGATGAATACCACATTATATACAAGTAGCATATTTTATAATAACTTTAGTTTTATATGTAAATAACATGAGCTATTGTAGAGTAGTAGATAACGCGTATAAGGTATGAGAACAAATTTACTTCCATTTAGGCCTCATTTGGTAGCTGTTTTTTTCAAAATGCATTTTTCTCTCTCTTTTTTTCAACCACACATTTTTTATTAAAATAATATTATACGTAAATTAAAAACTTTTCCTTATTTCTCAATCATACATTTCACATCAATTGACTATTCTAAAATATATTTTTACATAAAATACCTATCAAACACCCCTTAACCCATTTTGGGCACTATATATACATAAAGTCTAGAGAGTGATAAGGATATCAGAACTTAATTTCGAACCGTTTTATATTTTTTACCCTCGGTTAATGTATAACAACTGTAGAAATTCAAATAAATCGACAAGGTCGAAATATTAACTAACTTGAGAAAATCAAGATTAATCTTAGAGACAAAAAAATGAGACAAAAAGGGTGAAAACTATCCCCTGTCAAGCTCGCGATTATTAGAATCAATAACTGTATTTAGTAGATAACACATATCCTGCAAAAGACTCCTTCCCATTTTCAACCTTTAGAATCTTAACTTCAACCAAACTTCTAACAAATTTCCTATTAATCTTTCTATTTTCCAATCCAAAAATGTTGTGAAGCAATTTTTATTTTTCTTTCTCCACAATGCTTAAAGTTTTCAACAGAAAGCTTAAACGCTTCTGTTCTAGGCTGGGATGGCCGATTCGACGCCGTTCCAAGCAAAAAATTGTCATAAAAAAGTTTGGAAAATCCAACTCAAGAACAAGAAATGAAGCAATTGCATCAAATACCACTGGTTCTGCTGTGATTCATCCAAGTAATGAATCCAGTGGCCTAAAATCCAAGAAACCAATATGTGTTGCCACATTTAATGCTGCCCTGTTCTCCATGGCACCTGCAGTTCCAGAGATGGAAAAATCAGCAAGTTTTGAGCCTGGAAATGAAGGTTTTTTGATGAAAAAGAATGGATTCGAGTGCGATTTAAGGACGAAATCTATGAATGATCGTCCGAGAAGTATACTAAAGCAATCTCCACTGCGTTCAGACTCCATGGATTCATCAGAAAATCTCTCTAAACAACAGAAGTTCTCGAAATCAAGATTGCGGGTTTCAATCAATTTACCAGATAATGAGATATCTTTGAAGAAAAGTGGACAGTCGGGCTTTTCTGAAGCTGAAAAAGAGGCATCCTCAAGGGGTAGTAGTATTAGTAGAATTCTGAAAGGGAAGGCTCCATTGACATACAGCAAAAGTACGTCGTTTAGCGCCACATATGGTGCTGATTATCGAAGTTTCTCCAGTACTCGGACCGTTCTTGATGTTCTAAGAGAGTTGAACGCAGATATATTGGCTTTGCAGGATGTGAAAGCAGAGGAGGAAAAAGAAATGAAACCTTTATCTGATTTGGCTAAAGCTTTAGGGATGTACTATGTCTTTGCAGAGAGTTGGGCACCTGAATATGGGAATGCAATTTTGTCCAAATGGCCTATTAACAAATGGAGGGCTCAAAAAATCTTTGATGAAACTGACTTCAGGTTTGTAATAATTCTTTGATTATCCTGCCTTGATTCATAGCAACCCTGATTTTGGATTTTTTGCATCATGACTGTTAAACATATGGCTTGTTTGGTAGTGAGATTAGATAGTATATGATAGTGGAAGAAACCTTTGCTAATATCTTGTTTGTCGTACCATGCTTGTACTTAAAAGTCGCAGATCTTGTAACTCCATACTATTTCGCACTAGGAGCCAAAAAGGAAATTTGTAAACCACTGCACAAACACATGCTCTATTTGAGTTTTTCATATCAAGTGATTTCTTATTATTTGATGCAGGAATGTTTTGAAAGCCACCATTGATGTTCCTCAGGTGGGAGAAATCGACTTCTTCTGCACGCATCTCGATCATTTAGACGAGAACTGGCGAATGAAACAGATAAATGCAATAATCCAATCTACGAACATACCCCATATCTTAGCAGGAGGCCTAAATTCTCTTGATGAAACTGATTACTCCCAAGAAAGATGGACTGACATAGTAAAGGTCACTATCTTTTCTCGTTTTTCCAAGATTGAACACTCTTTTTTCCCTTCCGGTAACTTACAATTTGACCTTACTTATGGCACAGTATTATGAAGAAATGGGAAAGCCAACACCCAAACTTGAGGTGATGAAATATTTGAAGAGTGAACATTACACAGATGCAAAAGATTTTGCTGGAGAGTGCGAGTCTGTTGTTATGATTGCCAAAGGACAAAGTACAGAACTCCATTGCAAAATTGCTTATTTTCTCAATTGAATAATCACTTATCGATGCTGATTATGTTTAATCTAGGGTTTTCTTTTGTACAGATGTACAGGGCACATGCAAATATGGAACTCGAGTCGACTACATATTATCATCACCAAATTCAGCATACAAGTTTGTTCCTGGATCATATTCTGTTTTTTCTTCGAAAGGGACTTCTGATCATCATATAGTGAAAGTTGACTTGATGAAAGTAGATAGCAATCCTCAACAGCAATATGCTCAAAGGAGGCGCAGGCAATCCAAACAGAGAATTGTTAAGATAACTCATTCTTCTTCTCCATCAAAGGGTATATGGGAAGCACAATCTTGAAATGCAGATATATTAGTACATTAGTATTTCTCTTTTCCGACTATTTACTCAGCAGATTGTTCAATGATCATGGCATGTTTAACAAAGTGGACTCGAACTGGACAATATAAAGGAAAAAAAAGAAACTAAAATCTTGTCTATTCTACTGCCCATTTCTACTTACTAAACGTGCCTGGATAAAAAGATGAAGGCGGAAAAGTTTTACAATAGCTTCCTTTTTTTGTTTCTTTCTGTAAAGCACTATTCATCAATACAATGGTGACTAATTTAGAGGGAAAGAAAATTAAAGATACAGAATGTGTATAAATTCATTTCAGTTACTTGTAAAACAAGGATTTTCTTCCTTTTTCCCTTCTGATTCAAGTTTTGAAAAGAAGTTGAAGAAGGGTATTTGAAAATACTTGAGTAGTTTTCTTCTCTTATGTTTCTTCCAAACTTTCCAAATAATTGTGCATCTGTGTGTTGATCACTTGATCGCTCTTCAAATATTTCGTCGCACTTAGTGACTTAGTCTTGGGAAAACAAGAAAACGAATTAAACCTTACAAAATCTGTCCATCTCTCTCGGGGAGTAATATGTTTCAACCAAAGAATTTAGACTTGGTGGATTGGATTATGGCATTTATCTGTTTCATTCACTAATTCTGGTCTAAATGGTGGAGGTGCTAGAAGAAGTCCATTTCTCCAACCTGAGGAACATCGATGGTGGCTATCAAAACATACCTGCATCGTCTTATAACAAGTCATAAGCTATCTTTCAGCATCATTTGTCGCGCTTAACAACGTGCTTTTGCTGTATTTCAATGGAGCCTTCCGTTTTAGAACTCTGCTAATACTGCTCCCCCTTGAGGATGCCTCGTTTTCACATTCAGTAAAGCTCGACTGCCCATTTTTTGTTCGAAGATATCTTGTTATCTGGTGAAATGATTGAAATTGGCAAACTTCTGTTGTTTAGAGATTTTTTCTGATGCATTCATAGAGCTTGAATGCAAGGACTATTATTCATAGACTTCATCCTTAAATCGCACTCGAATCCATTCTTTTTCTTCAAGATACCTTTACTTCCGGGCTCAAAACTTTCTGATTTATCTGGAACTGCAGGTGCCATAGAAAACAGAACAGCATTATATGTGGCAACACAGATAAAATCCCCCCAATGGTCACTAAACTTTGCAGAAAATCCTCTAGGAGGTCGCTGAACTTCAATACGTCCCTAAATAGTCACTGAACATTGTCGAAGTCCCTCCATGAGATCACGGAACTTCAAAACGTCCCTGAATGGTCATTGTGCTTTGCAAAAAGTCTATGGGAGGTCACTAAATTAGTTATGTATGGGGTCCCAATTTGCAATGTTGAGTGACCTTTTAGGGGGATTTCGACAAAGTTCAGTAATCATTGAGGGACGTTTTGAAATTTGGTGATTTCTTGGGGGACTTTGGCAAAGTTCAGTGACTATTTAGGGACATATTAAAGTTCGGTGACCTTCTAGGAGATTTTCTGCAAAGTTCAGTGACCATTGGAGGGATTTTCTCTGACAACACATAATGGTTTCATGGATTTTAGGCCAACTGATTCATTATTTGGATGGATCACAGAAGAACCAACGATATTTGATGCATTTGAATCATTTCTTGTTCTTGAATTAGATTTTCCAAACATTTTTATGACAATTTTTGGTTTGGAATGTGCCAACTCAGCTTATCAACAATCTAGTAAGGTTGAAGACAATATTCAAATGATGTACATGTGATCATATTTTAATTGAAAGTAGATCGATTTATATGTAATTCAAGTTTTTCATTTAAAATTTATTAGATTAACGATATATTATATAAATAGCATATAATGAATGAAATTGAATATTAAGTAAAATTTTTTACTGAATTCGTCACAAAAAATAATTGGACTAGAAAGGGCCTTCCAAGAGAGAGAGCTCCCCCGGTAACCCAGACTTGGGCCTATTTACTGGGCCCTATCAGCGTCCTAATCAAGCTGGCCTCATTTTTACGTGAATTTGGCACTTGTAATTCCACAAGCAAATCAACTAACAATTGGGTGTAAATATGTGCAATACATGTAGAATACTTGATCACTCTTTCCAAATTTCGTAATTTAGTGATTTAAGTAGATGAGCCAAATTCTCTCTAAAAACAAATGAAACTTCTATCGCAGTTTATAGATCAATTATTGCACATTAACTTACTATTGTACAAAAATAAAAGTATATGTATGTATATGGATGGTCTTATGTTTCATCAAAAAATGTCGAATACAATATGAATTCATTGGGAATTAAGAGTGTGTTTGATTAAATTTATTTTCCATGAAAAATATCAATTTTACATGAAAAATATCAATTTTACACTCAAATTCCTACTTGAAGTGTTTGATTGCTATTTTTTTACATGGAAAACATTTTTCAACTTTTGAAAATATGCCTAATTTTTCTTGGGTGGAGGTGGTTTTTATTTTCCTCAAAACAAGGAAAACATTTTTTTTTCTAGGTGATATTTTTCATGTCAATCAAACACACTCTAAATTCTAGTGTCAATTATCTTTCTTCAGATAAATATAAAAGTTCATTAAAAAAAAAAAGACACACTCTAGCGGGA